GTACGTGGCTTCAACAGCTATTTGGCCCGAGCAAAACACAAACCATCATGCAGTCACAAGAGTTTATTTCACTTTTTATAGCCAATGTATCATGAAATCTCTGTCCACTCAGTGTTGACAATGAGCCATGTCTTACCTATTGCATCACCTAACACCTTCAAAAATCCAGAAAGCACAGGTTGTGCCCTTAATATTGATGCTACTACTACAACTGAAGAAAAAAAATGGATTCCAATATACATAGATGTTCAATTAATTTTCAAGAACTGTGCAAGACAAGCCAATGGGAAAAGTAAAGGTGTTTTCAACAAACGGGACTGATCACTGAGATGTATCCATCGGTGGTGCCTGATGGGGCTGTTTGTTACTGCTGATGACTGTTCCATTAATCTGTGATTCAGAGGAATAAATAAATAAATATTTCTGAGAAAAGACTTTATTTCTTCCACTCTTTTTTATTGGAGACACTCATTCATGGATTCACTTTGAGAGCTTTGCGTGCAACACGTACGATCCTTTTAGTTCTTCCTCCGCTCCTGCCTCCCTCTTCAGGTCCCACGTGTGTTGGGGGCTCCTGCATTACACTTCGTGCTCATATTCACGGCTCTTGTTAATGGCCCTACACTCCTTCCTATCATTCCCTTTCTCTTGCCTGCTAAAAACCTCTCTTTTACTTTCTTGGTATTTTTTTAGCTTCTTCCTATTAAAATATTTGACTCTTGTCTTTCTTTATCTCACTTATTTCACTTAAAAGCATGGCTGTCAGTCCACCCTCTTTCCTGAAAATGACAGAAATTCCTTCTACCTTCAGACCCAGGAGCGCTCCACTACCTACGCAGCACCACCTGTGCGTCCATCTTGCCAGGGACTCGCGCCGATTCTATATCTGGACTTCTGTGAACTGTGCTGCAGTCCACACGGGTGCACCCACAGCCCCATAGTGTGCTCCTTAGTGCATTCAGGCATACACCATGGAGCAGTATTGCTGGATCCAGTGTTAGCTTTATTTTTATTTAGGAACCTTCGTACTGATTTCCAGAGTGGCTGTATTCATTTGTAGTCTCAGCAAGGACCACGCATCCTCTCCAGCCTTTGTCACTGTTTGTATTCTTAGCGATCTACATTCCAGTTGCAGTTGGGTGCAGTCACCGCACTTTTTACTTATAGTTTTTTGTTAGTCAAAGATGTTGAATATTTTTTTATGTTCCTACTTAGTCACTTATTCTTCTGCCTTCCAGAGGTATCTGTTGAATTCTTTTTCTCATTTATTTGTGGATCTATTTGATTTTTAGATGCTAAGCTCTTGAGTTCTTTATATGTTGTAGCTATAAATCCTGTGTTGGAAGAGTGGTTGATGAAGATTTCTTTCCATTCTGTAGGTGATGTGTTCACTCTGTTAGATTCCTTCATTGTGCAGAAATTTTACAGTGAGATTTAGTCCTATTTGTTGACTCTGCTATTTTGTTCAGGACTGTTAGTGCCTTATTTGGGATGCCGTCATTGTACCTTTGGCTTCCAGAGATTCCCTGGTGTTTTCTGTGAGCACTTTTTACATTTGACACCTAGAGGCAGGCATAGAACTTTGGCTTTTCTGCTGCTGAGAGACGCAGATCTAACTTTAGTCTTCTATAAGTAGATTCCCGGTTTCCCAGGAGGTTTTATTAAAGAACCTGCATTTTGTTCAGTGTTTGGCTCTTTATATAGAACCAGAGGGCTGAAGTTGCGTGCATTTATCTGTGTCCTCTGCAGTTCACAGACAAGCCTGCTCTTGTGTCAGGACCATGTTGCTTTAGTCACATGGCTTTGTGGTGTACCTTGAAACCAGCTGTTACGACACCCCAGCCTTTCTCTTTTTGCTTAGGACTGCATTGGATGTTCTGGGTCCTTCAGATTTCCACAAGAACTTTAGGATGCGTTTCCTAGTTCTGTAAAGAACAGCACTAGTATTTTGATGGGAATTGTACTGAGTCTATAGATCTACAGATTGCTCTTCCATTTTCCCTCTAACATTGGGAGAAATGTTAGTGCTCCCAATATAGGAGCATTATGCAATTTTCCTTTTTCTTGTATCTTACTCCATTTATTTTCTCTGTATTCTGAAATTTTTATTATAGACATTTTAGAAGCTAGTGTTTTTAAAGTTTGATATTATTAGCACATTTTAATGCACACATAATACTTGTATATATTTATGAGATTCAGTGTGGCATTTCATTGCATGTGCAAAATATGTAATGATGAGATCAGGGCAGCCGGCACATCTGTCTCCCCAGATATGTGTGATTCTTACCTATCTTCTCAGATAGACTCTGTCTATCTTCTCAGCTATGTGTGTTATACTCGGTCAGCTAGTTTCAAACAGTTCAGTTGTTTTCTACCGTAGTTACCCTCATGCATTACAGAATGTGGAAACTGCACCCTGCATTTTTTACTCTTCCTGTTTTCATCTTCCCTCACTTATACCCACCCCAAATGTTTATGTTTATTCTCTACTACAAATGTTTATTGTGTGCTGCTTTCAGATGAATATTATCTATTTATTAGCAACTACCTGTCTATAAATTCATTTACTTAATTTGAACCATTTCATTTATGGTTTTGGAAAAAACATGCAGATATTTAAGAAGATAATGCTACTCCACAGAAGTTAACTAAGGGGGTTGCAGTAACAGTTGATCTCCATTTTGTCCATAGGATAACCTATACTTTATACAGAAAGACATTTAGAATAGCTTTTTACTGGAATGTAGAATATTAGGTGTTCTTATTTTTCAATAATAAACACCTGTCATCATGCAAATAAAAACCCAGTGCCCTTTAAAGCTATAACTACATGTTCTTCCCACTTCCTCACTGACTCTTCTTTCTTTTCTTCCCATTTTTTAAAAAAATTTATTTATTTATTTACGTGTGTGTGTGTGTGTGTCCAGCTCAGCCCACCAGGACGTGTGACTGGCTGGCATGTGGTGCTGGGGGATTGAACTGCAGTCTCTGTGCTTTGCTAAGCTTGTTCCAAGTAGGTGCTCTAGACCACTGAGCCATCTCACCAGCCCTCTTCCCATTTTTCTACCACAATTTTTCTTCATTAACTCTCTCATTTTTTTGTTTAGTAAAGTTAAGTATTTCTTTCTATTACATTTTTAATGTTTTTTAAGGATTACATTGTGCCTACAGTATAACATTTCATTGTCCAGTGAGGATTATCTTGGTACTTCAAGAAAAATACACTAAACTGTGTATGTTACTTTCCTTATCCCCTTTATACCTGTCAGTTGTCTTCCATATTCAGAAGCTGAAAACTTCATCAGGCAATATTATTGCATGCTTCCACGCATAAAAGGTTGTAAGAATATTCAAATTCATAGAAGCAGAGAATACAATGATGGCTCCTAGGAGCAGGGATGAGGAGGGACAAACAGAGAGTGATCCTCCAGTGGGCATAACCTCTAATTATTCAAGGGTGCTTTGTAGAACTCTTCTGTGCAGAACAGCTCTTACAGTTAACAGCACAGCACTGGACACTTAGAAAGTTGTGAAGAAGGTAGATAACAGGTGAAGTGTCCCTACAAAAGCAGCACCCAAAACAACACAAAACAAAGCAAAAATAACCACAAGAAATGTGTGGAGGTGGTATCCTCCATTTCCTTGATTATTGTGATGGTGGTTAGGAGGGTGAACACACACCTGCAAGATCATCAAATATCATCAGCTTTTTAAAAACAATTCTACCGCAATAAAGCTTTGAAAAATAAATAAAATAATATCTTGTATATATATTTATTATTTATGTTGTTCTTCCTT